ACTCCCTTGCTATCCAACCTAAATACGACGAGTTCCCAGATTCTGCTACGTTGTATGGACTCTCGTCGATGTTGCTGGTAGCTGGAGATGTATAGTAGCCAACTGCCACGACGCTCTTTACTCAATTTGGCCGAATGAGCAAAGGAGGAAATCAGGCAAGGGCGGAGGCAGGGTGGCAGAATGCGTCTTGAGGCAAGACGCCGGCATCTTCCCGGGTCCTCCTCAAGCGAACCACTCAAAGGAAGGCACACAGCTGCCTAGCCTCTTAGCCAGTCAGAGACGAGCTTACATAGCCGCAGGGGCGATCCCAAGATGGCCGAACAAAATGGCCAGCTGGCATTGCGATGGTAGCAAGTGGTCCACCCTCGCCTCCACGCTTCGCGCCTTCCCATGCAAACCCTGTCTACCTCCAAGCTCTACAAAACAAAAGCTGTTGCTCGCTCTAACACTTTGCACATATATGCAACAACGGCCATTGTAGCATATTTGGAATCCTGAAGACTCAGGCTCTCAGATGAGCCCAAACTCGAGATGATTCGGTATGGGTTACCAGAACTAGTCCCGTGCACGTGAAGTGCACGTGCTGAGTGCCACGGCACGTAAAACAAGTGGAAAGTTTAGCTGGTGTTAAACCATCCCCTCACAGGCAGCACCCTATTGGTCAACAATGCCACACACCTGGTACTGACCAATCAACAAGCAGCTGGCGCGGCTACCACAATGCATTGTGTACTCGTCTCATCCAGCGGTAAAGCTCTCCTCCCTCCTCCATATTTTCCTGGCCGAAAAAGCCTAAAGCCATTTTCAAAACAATGAGAATCATAATTGCTGTCAACTGACAGTTCAGGCTACTCCTAAAATATACAAAATCTCTTCCCCATGCTTCAAGGTATATACAATTCAGGGTCATATGATTCTTATAAGCGGGATATAGGTTAAAAGGGCCTGAATTCCGTAACTACACACAATTGCTTCTTCAGCTTCTTCTTCTTCTTCTTGATAGTAGGTGCAGTTTGCATGAAGGGTTTGTCCTCCCGATGACTGCACTAGTACAGATGTTGGTAGAGGCGTTTATGTTGAAGATGATAAGAGTTTTAAAAGTGCTTGTTGCGTTGTGCTGTAGACAGAGGAGCGGCGACTAGAACAGAGGTGTATGTTAGAGGGAGACTTGCCGCACCGTAGGGCGGTGTGTTGTGTTTATGGTGTCAGCTGATCCTTGGTGTTGCGACGAGGCAGTTGTTTTCTGTGTTTAGCTGTTGGTGGCGCCAGGTATAAATGTGGCGCGGGTCAGATGTGACCCAATTTGTTGGTCGATTGGAGATATTTAGCCAGTGCTTTGACTATTTGGTATTTTTCTTGTAACGAGTGGTCACCGCCTCCTAATATATGCTCGATGGTAAAGGGTATTTTAAGTGAGATAAGTACTTGTTTGAAATTTACTCTGGCACTATAGTGTCGGAAGCAATGTAGGAGATAGTGTTCGACTGTTTCAGGCACCTGACAGTGGATGCAGAGTTCGTTGATGTCTGTTCTGTACTTAGAGCTGTGTGCTGCTAGTTTGGTGTGTCCCAGCCTTAATCTGGTCATCGCTATATCAATTTCTCTGCTTTTATATCTGACATGTTTCCAAGTTTCCCATTTCTTTTTAATGGACCCATAGTACAAAGGTGAGCATGACGTTTTCCATTTCGTCGCAAAATCTTGGGTGATGGTATTTATGAAGGCTCTTTTACGTGCAACATGGGGAATTGGATGACGGGTAATGTGAGGTGTGTTGTGCATTGCTTTGGCTAGTTGATCTACTAGTTCATTATGGAGAATACCACAATGCGCTGGGACCCATTGGATAGAGGTATCATAACCGTTCAAACGATGTTCATGAAGAAGTTGAAGACATGGGTAAACAAACTCCTTGCACGTTTTTGAAGAGTACGTAATTGCTTGAATCGCACTCTTGGAGTCACTGCAGATTGTATATGTCCCGATTGGTAATGTTGTGATTATTTGGAGAGCTTGATATAAGGCATATAATTCAGCTGTGAAAACAGATAGTTGGTTTGGTAATCGCCATCCCTGCTTGAGATGGTATTCCGGTATCCATACAGCGCTAGTGACCGAGGGTACGTTGTTCATGATGATGCGAGATCCATCTGTATAAATCGCTGTGGTATTTGGGTAGCAATTTTCATTGTTGAGAGAAAGACTGAGGCTATGGCTGAGTTTGGTGCAGACTTTGGAATGTTGTCTTCGAGTTGTATTGATGTATTAGGAGTTGTATAAAGCCAGGGTGGAATAGGGGGAACAGTAAGTTGGGTTTCCGAGTTTTGGAGTAGAGAGGTCTTTATTGAGGTTATTTGTAGCCCGTGTGAGGAAAGGTTGTGAGTGATTGGTTGGGAAGCGGGGGTTATGTGGGTTAACTGTTGGGTTAATTTTTGATCTGTATGGGTGTGTCTGGTGAGCAGTGGTACAGAGTGACAGATAGTTGGCACACATTATGTCTCGTCTGGTGGCTAGGCTTGTGAGGCCCGTTTCCCCGTAAAGACCGAGGATAGGAGTGGAACGCATTGCGCCACATATAAGTCGCATGGCATTGTTTTGGATGACCTCTAGGCTCTGTAGGTTAGTAGGCGCAGCCGACGCATATGCTTGGCAACAATAGTCTAGTTGGCTGCGAATGTAGGTTGTATAGAAACGGAGCAGGATTTTATGGTGTGCTCCCCAGGTGGTGCCAGTGAGGGCTTTCAGTATGGCGAGTCGGGGTTGTGTCGTCTGTTTAAGGTGTTGAATGTGTGCTTTCCAGGTAAGTGAGGGCGAGTCTAAGTGCATGCCAAGATATTTATGTTCTCGTACGTGTTGGATGGGAGTGTTGTGTATTGTGAGGGTGGGTAGATAAACAAGTCTTTTTTTAGAGAAAATTTGATAATAGGTTTTGGTAGTACTAACTTGAAGGCCCCATTGTTGTGTCCAATCTATGAGGTGATCAAGTACTGTTTGCATTGTTGAGACTGTATTAGGTAAGGCGTTGTCTGAATAATACAGTGTTAAGTCGTCGGCGTACGCCGAGAGGTTAACAGGATGGGTGTTAGGCAAATCTGTTAAGAATGCAGCAAAAAGGGTTGGGCTTAGTATGGAGCCTTGTGGGACACCCGTTTGTATTGGGATGTCATCGGAAAACTCGCCTTGTATATAGACTTTAGAGGTCCTGTTCGTAAGATAGGATTTTAACCATAAAAGTAATCTTCCTTGTACGCCTAAACGCCCACAGGGAAGAATACTTGTATGGTTAAAATCCTATCTTACGAACAGGACCAAAGGCCTGAAAATCGGTTTCTCCTCAAACTCTTTAAATATTTTTGTAGATAGTCTACATGGTAATTGCCCCAACTTTTCCTAATGGATCAACATAGTAACATGAACACAAAAAATAAATATAATTTTTTTTAATAAATTGACAATTTTACATTTTCAAATAAAAATGTAAATTGTAAAATGTCACCAATTGTAGTTTTTTTTTTTAATATTCATATGTACAGAAATGTGTCAAAGACATGCACTCCATGTATGTGTTCATATTCATTTACATATATTAATAATTAAAAACCTAAATCTTATGATTGCACACAGGACACAGTTTGCCTTTAAATATTTACATGGTAATCACTTATTTGCTGTTGGTAAAAGTTTATTAGTTCCAATTGTGGGCGCCCAGCACGTCCAGACACTGGGTGGTGATGTACCAGACATGGTCCTCATCTTCTTACTAAGGTCCTAGATGGGAAAACAAGAGACGCAGGATAATTTGTTGTTGTTAATGAGGGATGGTTACTGGAGGCCTGAGGAAGCTATTGTGATCCCCATGTATGCGTGGGAGTTTACACTTTTGTGATAGGCCTAAAACAACCCTGGTTGTGGTGTACACTATCAATGAAACAACCCTGGTTATGGTGTACACTATCAATGAAACAACCCTGGTTATGGTGTGCAGTTTAAGGGTTAATAATCCTTCATAGGTAGATAGGCCTTAATCCCAAAACCACTAGCACACTAGACCACTAGCCCTTACCATCAATAGCGGGAACTCAACCCTATTAGCACAAGTGGTTCAGAGTTTCCTATATTGTTTTTTAGTGAAAACGTTTCATCGACAAATTTATACTAATTTGGACATTCTGTATGTTACATTTAAGCAGCAGTGTCATGTTTATACAGGTGTGATGAACCTCAATAATATTCCAGCATAAGGCCGATGAGGGGCATACAAGAGGCTGCAAATGAATTTTGTAAATTAGTAATCATAGTTCTGTGATCAGGTCATTCATATGGAGACGCTGTAATGTGAATATATTTACCGGTCATAATTACAGATTCCTCAAGCGCACGAATCATCTAAAAAAAACTGGAACATTTTAAAAACTGAAAATTATTAAGGAAAATGATTATGTAACACATTACTGAGTTTTATTGTTGAAGTGATGTTTGGAAGAGCTTTAGAGCCCATTTAGTCTTCAAGCGCTAGACCTTATGCGCTCAATTCACCTTTATTATTTAGGTTAACTAACAAATGTTTGTAATAGCTTTATCCACTTAAGGTTATCTAACAAATGACTTTATAGCTTTATCCACTTAAGGTTAAGTAGCAACTGAATTAATAGCTTTATCCACTTAAGGTTAAGTAACAAATGACTTAATAGCTTAGATCAACGGACATTGGGGTTAGGTTTATCCAACAGTGTCATTTTGATGAAACACTGATCCTTACGTTAATTTCGACTACTATTTTGGTTAACTAATGGAGGTCAATGGGTTAATTAGTGAAAGGCTGGTCTAATTATCTCCTTAAATTTTTATGGTTCATTATGTTATATTAAGCAACTCAGGCTCCTTAATAAAACATTTTTTTTCTAGAATAATTGATACATCGCTCTATTATCTGGATAAACCTTAGCCTTTGTTTCATATGACTGTATTTCTGAACAAATTATTGTTACTTTATCTCTCAGGTTGTTGAAGGGTCAGATCCACTTAAGGAAACACAGTCACTGATACACATGCCTACAAATTTGACCGATGGACCTCTGTGGCGCGTTCGACTTCTATCATCTACCCCTGAAGACCTTCCTCCTCGGCCAGAGATAAACGAAAAATTTCCATATCGGAACACAGTGATATTTGAGTGCCAACATGCAGCAATTGATGCTGGTGATATCATAATGATTATTCGTTGGTTCCATAAAATCATTGATGACATGCTAAGCGGAAAGCCCATTGATGATTTGCAATTTGATCAACTTGCAGACCACAGTCAGACATCAGAAATTACCCAACAAATAAAATCGGCTCTTGAAAATGATCCTGAGCGGTTGAGCTCATTAATTAAACTTAAAAAACAAGAGCCTGCCACTTCTGTCCTCATTGAAGCTTTCGGAGCCCCAGAACCATCTCAGGCAGAGACAAAATACTTGGAAAATGTTTTTCTGAATATCTCAGATGTTGATAAGTTTCATGCCAAGTGTCAGTCTGAAAATATATCGTTCAATTCAGGATTTACGAGTGTAATTAACACGGCTCTTGTTGAGGTAGTAATGGAGGCTGGCTTTACACGAGACGCCTACAATATTAGGAGTCGTATTCCCATTGATATGCGTCGTTACATGAAAGATTACTCCAAGACCTTCCTTTCGGGTTTCCATGGTGCTCCAATGTTTCAGAGCATTTCAACACCTTACAATGTTAAAGATCATTTCTGGATGTATGCAAAGCAGCATGATGTTCAGTTTCAGAATAACTTGAAGAAAAAATCATTTATTGAAGATATGATCATTGAGAGAATGCTTCGGCCAGCTGATTTTTCTCCTGAGAAATTCTTTGCAAATCCACAACCTATTACGAGAGACTATTTGTTTACAAATATGTTTAAACATTTTTCCAGAACATACGGAGTAGGTAAACATGTTCAGCTAACAGATTTTAAAAGTTATGTAAATATTCATGCTCTTGACGTTACATTCGTCTGCGCCTTATTCCAAATATGTGAAGAGATCCGCTTTGATGTCTGGTACTCGTCACGGGGATTAACAAAAAATACAGCACAAAACATTGCTGACAAAACTGTTTCAGTCTTCAGTGAAATTTGTGAAAATATATAATGTTTAGATGTCAGATCAAGGAATTCCTTCATATGTAAGAAATCATAGATGTCAAGAGTGGGTCACTTTGGGGGTTAAATAGCCAAATTACATTTCAATATTTACTGTAACATTTCGACGTATATGTACTTAGTTATGTGTCATGTAAAATTGGCTCCAGCAAGTCAGTGATAGATAGTAAGTGCTCTCAAAACATAAAGCCTCATTATCCAGCCTATCCACCTGTTTTGGTGAGTACTAATAGTAACGATGAGGTCATTGCTATATATGCCGATGTACAACGAAATTAAAGAGTAGAAATCTGAACTAATGAGTTGAACAAACCGGAAAATTATTTTTTACTTGTGTTGCTTTGACACACACCCTCATGTGATGACTATTGTGCATCTGGGGGTTCCAAGAATTATCCTCATGGCTTCATTTCTAATTCTCTCTAACGCTTTACTCCTATTGCTAGAGAGACTCATAAGGTGCAGGGCAATGTAGTCCAATAGTGACATGATGGACATGTAGAACATTCTGGCATTTTTTACATTGATAGAGGTGACTTGATCATTAAGTTTTTTTCTTTTTTTGAGATATATACAAGAGTTGTTACATTCTTGTACAGCCATTTGTACATTCTTGTACAACGCGTAGCGTTTCGGGCAGGTCCCTGGAATACGATCCCCGCCGGGAAAAATCGTTTTTACAACCAAGTACCTATTTTACTGTTGAGTTAAACAGAGGCTACAGTTAAGGATTTGCGCCCAGTAAATCCTCCCCGGCCAGGTAAATCCTCCCCATGACAGAGCGCTCGCGGAACGCCAGGCGAGTGTCTTACCACTGCACCACGGAGACTGGTGGTGTCAGTCAGTTTTCCTTAAAATTCATTTCAATTTTAATTTTGTTGACCAAATACACAAAATATCATCACCCTAAGTAAACCAAGAAATAATTCTGGGGGTAATTTTACAAATAAATTTCTTTAAAACATTTCTTATACAGATTTGAAGAAATAGTTTTTCTTTCGAATTAATTTTTTCTTTCGATTAATTTATCATCAGTAATGATTTGGAACATTCTTTAATTTGTTAAAAGTCATTTAACTAAAGATCATATAAATCCACCGAACTAGTCAAATGCGAATAAGAAATAGTACCAAAGTGTGGGGACAAAATTTTAGCGAGCCACTTAGAAAGCTCAAAGATAATGGGTCCCACAAAACTTATAATAGGCCTTGTGGTATAATTAGGCTTATGAGTCTTGATTAAATGGAATGACAATAACTATTGGATAAAATTTGTGTGGATCCCTTCCCTTGCAGGTGGAAAACATGAATTTGTAGATCGATTGGATAATGAGGCTTGCAGGAAAGAAAATATTGATTATGACTTTGGACTATCTAATGCAATTATTAGAAGCATACAAATTAAAGAAATTAATTCAGATTTAGAAGAACTAAGAAATGCCCAGAGACCTGAAAGCTGCAGTATTAAAAGGTTTGACAATTTTTGTAATAATAGGTATTTGTATGTCAGCACAGTAACCGGACCAGGCAATGTGATGTAGTCATTACCCGAATTCGCCTTGGCTATAGGCACATCTGGCAGGTTAGTGTGGCTGAGGCACTACCAGAATATTCCGATTGAAAACAAACCTTCAATGCATTCACTAGAACACTATACTGTTGAATGTGAAACCGTAAAAGATTTTAGACCACCTGGCCTATTGTACCACCAACTGTGTAACTATTTCATTGAATCTGGTGTACTGGACGACATCCTAAAAATTTATCCAAAATTTGCTTGTCCATTTTAAATAACGACTTATATATATATATATATATATATATATATATATATATATATATATATATATATATATATATATATATATATATATATATATATATATATATATATATATATATATATATATATATATATATATATATATATATATTGTGAGAGTTTGTTTGAGAATTTGTGGAATAAAATGAAATTGGTATGAGGAATTTTAGCTCGGAAAATTTCTAAGAATTTTCTTTATTCTTTAACCTTTATTCCTGTCGTGATATTCAGTTAGGTCGCCTGAGGAAGGACTTGCTTAGCTAACACACCAGTGTAGTAAACAGCTCATTCCTCACTTTGGGACAATGTATGAACAATTGACTAGGCGCGAGCAAACGCCGAGACCCTAATGAAAATTGAAATCCCCTCTCTTAGGCCGCCGACCTTCGCCTTCGCCGAAGCGAATCTAACGAGTAAGTCAAGGGATCTCACAACAATAATTTATTGTTGTGTGGTGCCGTATATTTGATCCAAAGCTCAGAACTAGTCTCAACTTTATTAGTCGAGTGTGAAGAACATTTGCATAACAATAATAATGTGTGGGGGTGTAACGAAAAGACAGTGTTAACCATAACAACTTAGTTTATTCAATAAAGTACTAACTACTACAACAAAACAAAAAGAAATGTCAATGACGTTACTCGAAATCCTTCCTATGACACTATCAATGACAGCTAGACACCAGCCCCTCAGACTGCATAATGAACTAACTCGAACATAAGCGTGACCACAGAGGAATCAACAAGTGTTACGAACCCGGATCCAGCGTCCGAGCAAGGAGCAGTAACAACTACGCCATCTGTGGGTCAGCTCCCGAAACCCCCGCCAAACGAACGACGACACCGGATGAGGACGGCGAATATCGGCCACAAGGGCCAGTTTCCAGTCCTGTGCAGCTCACAACACAGCCGCTCCTGACCTCTGGTGAGGTGGTGCTCCGACGACAGCGCCATCTATGGACTGGATACGTCAGGTGTTTGCGCCCGAGCCCGTAAGTGAGGTGTATTAGTGTCCCGGTTATTGATGACGTGTCTGTTTACAGAGTCGACCTGGGACCACTGTGTTGAAGGTTGAGTGAGTCTATCCGAGGCAGCCAGTCTCCATACTGTGAACCTTGCTGCAGCTGTTGTGACGTCGTCCCCCCGGAAGAACACTGTGGTGTGTTAGCCTGCCAGTGGAGTGGCAGTGAAAGGATTTACCCGGGACCGACTGTTGGAGACGATCATCCACTGGGGTATTGAGGACAGGAGGGTGATTGGTGATATCACACGAGACTCCTGTCTAGGGCGTACCCATTATATCGTTCGTGGAGTGGCCGTACCAGCCTTGGTGGCTCAGTACCTGCCAGCAGACCAGCTGGACGTGTGGTTGACGGCCTCCACGACGGTGCCCCCAGTGGACCTGCGTTTTGGCTGACCTGTGGCCCGGGTAGGCTCGGCATTCTCAGAGGACACGTCGTGAGGCCACGAAGAAGGCACCGAGAGTTATGGTACCAGCGTCTTCAGTAGAAGACATCGATTGAGGATTAATCCCCTTGTAAAGTGTTAATACCCCTCCCCCTTGTGTACTCTTTTATTCTATATATTTAATCGGTGATGGTGAACATTATAATATTAAGTTCTTAACTTTCTTTCCCTACTCCCTTTTAAGTTACTTGCGTCACGGATCTCATCCCTTGATAGCCACTACTGGCTCGGGAACGGATACATATATCTTCCTCTAACAACATCAGAGAAAGGACCCCGTTGCGTCCCGAGAGGGCCGTAACAACAAGAAACAAGAACTAACAGATCTATAATCACAATTACAACAAATGACACAGTAGGTTCTGAAACATGTCTCCAGTAACCTCCTAACTGTTCAACGCCTCAGTGCAGTCTACACCTGCAATGGCGGTTGCAATGCAATCAAATCAGTAGTCTTCCAATGACAACAATAACTAATGGGTTCACTGGCAACTCGAGCACCCTTCCTCAAATTAATCCTTACGTTAACACTCCGTCCCACGGGCGATCAACAATCAATAACAATTGATTTACGTTAATAACACAATAACATTTACGTTAATAACAAGGTAACATTTACGTTATATTAGTAAGTAATTATCAAAAGAAGGCACCAAACCGGGAAGGCTATGTAGCACCATCAAATACGCAAAATAATCAGAGGGCGCTAAATATCACCAAGGATGCCAATACGAGAACAAAAACGCATAAGGCGAACGATATCAAAAGTATCCGAGTCACCAAGAATTCTATCGAGGGACAGGTGACCGCGAGGGGCGGTCGGAAAGCAAGACACACGCTCGTCGTGGAAGTCAGGACATTCAAGAAGGACATGCACGACCGTAAGAGGGACAATGCAACTAGGACAATAAGGAGCAGGGCGGCGCTCCATCAAGTGACCATGGGTTAAGCGAGTATGGCCAATACGCAGCCTCGCCAGAGCTGTTTCCCACCGCCGGTTACGGTGGAAGGAGGACGGCCACGAGGAAACACAACATTTAAGAGTACGTAGCTTGTTACCAGTAACAGACAACCAAGAAGCCTGCCAACGGGTAAGGACTGAGGAATGGATAACCGGGTAAAAGTCGGAATACGGAATGCCTTTACGAGAGATGGGACAAGAGCGGACAGCTTCCTTAGCGGCAGCATCCGCACGCTCATTTAAAGACACACCAATATGGCTGGGAACCCAACAAAACTCAACCGACTTAAATTTACTGTGAACGAGAAACAGCCAATGCTGGATCTCGACAACTACTGGATGAACCGGATTAAAGGACCCGAGAGCCATGAGGGCACTACGAGAGTCAACAACAACCACAAAGGAAGACTGACAACGAGAAAGCAGGAGACGAAGAGCATAGAGAATAGCATAAAGTTCCGCTGTAAAGATGCTAGTCTCCGGAGGCAAGCGACACATATAAGTGCGATCAGGAAAAACAACAGAGTAGCCAACACCGTCCGCTGACTTAGACCCATCGGTGAAGACAGAAACGGAGCGGGAGTGAGAAGAAAAGTGCTCGAGGAAAAGGCATTTTAGAACCGTAGGAGGGGTAAAAGCTTTAGTGATACGGGTCAAGGAAGTACAAAACCGCGGAAGAGGGACCCTCCACGGGGGCAAAGAAGGAACAACACGAGGAGAAACATCAGAAATACGAACGGAGAGAGAATCCTGCAGGCGAGATAACCGGACAGAAAGAGGGAGGTGGTGAAGAGGAACAGGAACCGCAGGAGGGGTAAAAGTTAAAGCACGACAGAGGCGAGAGGAAGGATGTTGCAAGGACCGCGCAAGATAGTGAAGACAGAAGCGATCACGGCGGTCCTGGAGAGACAGGAAGCCAGTGTCAACATATAAGCTAAGGATGGGAGTCGAACGAAAGGCACCAGAACTGAGGCGCAACCCAGTATGGTGCAAAACATCAAGACGGCGAAGAGTAGAAGGAGAAGCAGACGAGTAAGCAGGGCAACC